ATATTGTTCCTTTTGAAAATATGCATAGAATCACTTATAAAGTCGATTTATGCATGTCCGTCTGTCTGTCCGTCCGTCCATGTATTTTTGTTAACAAAGTACAGGTCGCATTTGTAAACCGATTTGGATGAAATTTGGCACAGTTCACTTATTTGGCCCAAGGACGAACCCTATTGAAATCGGTTCCAAAGTCCCTATATCTTTCGATTTGCACGAAATTCGGCACAGCGTACTGAATTAAGCCAAGAACGATGTGTGTTAAATTTCGTGAAAATAGGTTCAGATTTAGTTATAGCTCTCATATATATTTTCGTCCGATTTTAGGTAAATAGTGCACCAAAGTCCCTATATATCCTTCGATTTGCACGAAATTTGGCACAGCGTACTGAATTAAGCCAATAATTAATTAATTTAGCACAGCGTACTGCATTAAGCCAAGAACGATGTGTCCGATTTTATGTAAAAGGTGCACCAAAGTCCCTATATATCCTTCCATTTGCACGAAATTTGGATTTATAAGTAAATGAAGAACTCAAAATGTGGCCGAATGAAAAAAACATGTGGCAAGTTTCGATGAAATCGGGTTAGATTTCGATATTTTGCTTTAAATTTATTTACATAATTTTGTCCCATTGTAAGAAGCAACACTATATATGACCAAAATTTAGGATAGGTTGCAGATTGACATGTTTAATTTCATGTTAATGGTCCTTCAAAATTGCGACGTCTGTTAGGATTCCATCTGTTGGATATACCCAAAGTGGTGAAGGGTATCGTATAGTCGGCCCCGCCCGACTTTACTACTTTCCTTACTAGTTATATATGTGGTGCTCCAAACTTCCAATGTTTTGTACGATTCAGACGAAATTTGGAGTTGCGTATCGTATTAAGTCGAGAATAGCGATACGCTACTCCGGTAAAATTTGCTCAGATTTAGTTATGGCAACCATTCCAACTATATGTAAATGGTACACCAAAGACTCTATATTTTTCGATTTACACGAAATTGCATAGCGCATTGAATTGGCTCTAAACTGGCATGCGTTAAGTTAAATTGTGCACCATTAAACCAAAAATTGTCAGATAGCAATAAAATTTTGCACAGAGTGACTCAGTGAGCCTAAAATACAGTATACTAAGTTCCGTTTATATCGATTCATATTTACATATAGCTACTATATATATTTTCGTCCAATTTCATGATATTAAAACGTTTGTTCGATTGAAGCAAAATTTGGCACATGGCACAGTGGTCGACATCATCGATTTCAAAATGACATGTGTATGGATTGGTTAAAATAGGCTCATATATCTGTATAGATGTCATGTGAGTGGTCCCTTAAAGATCCTAAGTTTGTTCTACAAGTTATTGCATATATGCGTTATTTAATATATGATTTTTGAGAAGGACGTAATGGTTGGTTGACCAAAGTGGTCAAATAGTTCACTGTCTCCCAATATTTTTAGTTTTTTCTATAAAAATGCATCATACTTCTACGAGGGTGTTCTTCCCTACAAAATAAAAACTTATCGTGTTCTTCACATGTCTGTGATGCAACCAGCATCCAATAAAAATAATCTTCTTATATGATTGCATGCATCTTCAGCTCGTGCACGATTCATGTAGCCATCTATGTCGTGTAATGAAATTGAAAGTTCATATTGGTTCAATGTCGCTACTAAACGCGGGAGAGAAGACCATCATTAACTTACATAATGTTGAAAGAAAAAAAGAAACATAAATCTTTACAATTGTTCGCCATATTAGTTAAAGTACCACTAAAAGTACACAGAGATGGTATTATGCAACATCAGAACGAACAGCACGATTCTTTAGAACAACAATATGGAATTTTGATGAAGCAAAACACAAGAATGAAAATAAGGGGAAACATAGACGAACATGATTGAATAATGAAAGCAAAATGTCAACATTTGTTATTTAACAGAACAGAGCAAACAGTGATGACTTGTAGCAGCAACCAAAGAGACAATTGCATAATCGACAAATCTACAGGTCTGAATACATTAAGGTTAGTCTGACAAATACAGAAAATATCTAATATCGATGGAATTACGGAATCTATGTAAATAGCGATGAGTAAGTAAATCGATAAAGTGGTTTTCCGGGATACCACACTATGGTGGAATATATAAAAAAGGGCGGAGGAGAGGAGGTTACAAAAAAGGAGACAAGACGATTTGTGCCATCTATAGTACAATGCAGCGTTCTATGTGAACGACTAAGCCAATGGTCAATAACATTTTGCAAAATACCAATGCGGCTTCAGACCTGGCAAATCCACCATAAACCAGATCTTTATACTACGCCAAATTCTAGAAAAGACATAGGAAAACGAGTAAGGAAAGTAGTATAGTCGGACTGGGCCGACTATATGATACCCTTCACCACTTTGGACATATTCGAAGAAACATTGACTTGAAATTGAAAGAAGGAACATTGACATGATCTTTTTCTATAATTAAACCGACTAACATCAATCCCAACACATACATTGTGTCAATCGGCCTAGCTTTGGGTCTTAAGTGCACCATTTACTTCTAACGAAAGTATATGTAGGAGCAATATGTAAATCTGAACCCATTTCAAGAAAACTTGATAAACGAAAGGTTATGGTAACTTCAGTACATTGTGCATTGTGTGGCAGACGGCCAAACTTTCAGTCTTTAGTGCACAATTTACATTAAATCGACGAAACTGTATTAATGGACGAAGTCAAAGTGTTCAAAACAGATTTTCACGAAATTTAACACACATCGTTCCGGACTCACTTCAGCACGCTATGCAGAATTTCGTGCAAATCGAAGGATATATAGGGACTTTGGGGCACTATTTACCTAAAATCGGACGAAAATATATATATGAGCTATATCTAAATCTGAACAGATTTTCACGAAATTTAAACCGAATCGTTCTAGACCTTCTTCAGTACGCTATGCAAAATTTCGTGCAAATCAAAGGATGTATAGGGACTTTGTGGCACTATTTACATAAAATCGGACGAAAATATATATGGGAGCTATATCTAAATCTGAACAAATTTTCACGAAATTTAAACCGAATCGTTCTAGACTTAATTCAGTTCGCTATGTAAAATTTCGTGCAAATCAAAGGATATATAGGGACTTTGGTGCACTATTTACCTTAAATCGGACGAAAATATATATGGGAGCTATATCTAAATCTGATCAGATTTTCACGAAAATTAAAACACATCATTCTAGACTCAATTCAGTGCACTATGCCAAATTTCGTGAAAATCGAGGCATATATAGGGACTTTGGTGCACCATTTACATAAAATCGGACGAAAATATATATGGGAGCTATATCTAAATCTGAACCGATTTTCGCGAAACTTCACACACATTATTCTAGACTCAATTTAGTTCGCTATACCAAATTTCATGCAAATCGAATAATATATAGGGACATTGGTGCACCATTTACATAAAGTCGGACGAAAATATATATGGGAGCTATATCTAAATCTCAACCGATTTTTCCAATTTCAATAGGGTTCGTCCTTGGGCCAATCAAGTGACCTGTGCCAAATTTCATCCAAATCGGATCATAAATGCGACCTGCATTTTGTTAACAAAAATACATGAACGACGGACGGACAGACGGACATGTATAAATGGACTCAGAAAGTGATTCTATGCATATTCTCAAAAGGAACCATAGGTCTATCTCGATTATTTTTGCCTGTTACAAACATATGTACCACAGTGTGGTGAAGGGTATAAACTCATCGATACACTCCACCTATTCATCGACTATAAAGGCGCATTCCAATCCGCTTAGATGTGTTTAATATCTGTGTTATAACAAGTGTCGGATTTCATGCAAAATAAAAACGGTTATGCTGGGTAACATTAACTAGTAAAAGGTCAGCATTTAACGTCGGAAAGGTCATTTCAGTGAAAGCCTCTCATGTGACCTTTTTAACATCCTGCTGGAAAAGGTCATACGATATGCAAATGTGAACAGAAATGACACTTTGTACACCGTACTCGCCTATGTAGAAGACATCGAAAAAATGGGTCGATCATTGCGAGTGCTAAGAACCACCTTTGATGGAATTTAGAAGGAGTCTGCCAAAGTATGACTGACAGTAAATGGTGAGAAGGCCAGGCTGATGGTATCATTGCTCAAGACGTTCAGTAGACTCGGATCAACTGTGGAATTTGAAATGACATTAGTTTTGAGATTCGGAGAAGGATAATCATTGCCCAAAGATGCTAGGTAAGCAATTTAGAAGCAAGACCACCTCTCTACAATACGCTGGTAGAATCAGCTGGTGTATGGATCAGAAACATGAGTACTTGCGCCCGCAGATGAGGCAGTCATTGGAGTGTTTGAGAGAAAAATTCTTCGATTGGTATATGGGCCGATCTGCGTCCACTGCGAATTTCGAGCTATACCATGTATACACGGACATCGACATAGTCAGACGTATCGAGCTGCAGCGACTACGGTGATTAGGCCATGTTGTGCGAATAGATGAGGATGCCCCAGCGCAAAAGGCATATAAAAGAGAACCTACTGATGGTTCACGCAAAAGGGAAAGGCCACGATTTCGATGGAAAGATCAAGTAGAGGATGTCATATCAACGCAGGATATGAATAACATACCTAAAATTCCCAAAATATGGGGGCTACTCTGAAATTTGGGCCAATATTGAAACTTTTTGGTGGGGAGATTTTGTACCCAATAATAGTCCCAAATATTAAATTACCGCAAAATCGTATGAAAAATCTGCCCAAACCTACCGAAATTCCGAAAATTGGGCATAGCGTTATATGGGGGAACCATAAAATGTTGACCAATTTTGATAATATTTTGTAGGATGTTGTGCTACCTCATATGTACCTAATTAATTCGGTTGAAAATCGTCAATCAGCCATCCTTATTCGTTAGAGATTTCTTTCACATTTGGTTTATTTTATCCCCTAAATACAGGGTGAGATGAAAAAACTGCAACCCACTTCAGACTGCTGTCATTTCTAAGTCACTCGTCCAACAGCTGTTAAAGTTATTCCAGTGACAGCTCATTATATTGCTTACAAGCCTACAAAAGCATTTTGGTGAGAATTTTCCAGAAAAACAGTTATTCGTGGTGGAATTCAAGCGTCATAGTGTGATTTCTTTATATTTGGCTGGAAAACCACAAGTGTGAACAAATCTTTTGTGTCTCGTACCATCGCTCGTTACCGTGATACTGGTAGTGTAGCCCGACTTCAAGGAAGTGGACAGAAGAAAACAGCAACATCAGCAGAAATTGTGCTAAAAGTAAAGAAGCAACTTGATCGAAACCCGCGTCGCAGTGACCAAAAAATGGCTCGTAATCTGAACATATCGCAATATCCCATTCGGCATATCTTGAAAAATGAGCTAGGGGTAAAACCATTAAAATTCAAACAAGTGCAGGAACTTACACCGCAACAGAAAGAAAATAGACTCAAAAGAGCTAAAGAGTTGCTTCGCTTGGCCGAAAGTGGTGAACTACCGAATTTTTTTCACCGATGGGAGAATCTTCGTTCCCCAGCAGTTTGTAAACAAACAAAATTATCGTGTTTACTTGCAAAAGAGGACAGCTGAAAATGTGCACATTCGGTGGGACAACATAACTCAAGCACCGGCCATGGTGATGGTGTGGGCCGCCATAACAGCCGTGGTCTCTCTCCGTTCGTATTAATCGACCGTGGCATCAGAATAAATGTCGAATATTATCGCGAAAATATTCTGGAGGGTGTATTAAAGCCTTGAGAACGCAAACATTTTGGCCGCAGAACTTGGACAATCCAACAGCACCATCGCACCAAATGTAAAAATTATGGCGTTTGACTTTGTTGCAGTTTTTTATCTCACCCTGTATTAATAGGTTATTACCAAAATCTGTAAATGTCGTCTTTGATCACAATCTATTCTACATACAAAATTTCTTGACTGGTCCATAACTGCATTATTCAATGTGATTACAAATGACGATCGATATTAGTATATAAGAGTAGTCCAAAGTAGTCGGTGCTTTGCAAACACTTGTTCCACACAAACATATAATTCCCCTAGAACATAATTGTGCAGGTTATAAAAACGAACGATTTTAAATAAGGGAATTAAAATTCAAAATCGTTTGTATAAACTTTTTTTGGTTACCTGTGGTGATCCTCGATATTTGGTATATTATTTACATAGAGTCGGACAAAAATGTATGTGACAAGTATAAATACATCTGAGCCGATTTGTACATAGCCATTATAAATTATTATTATATTGATATTCAATTGCAATAAAGTTTTCGAACCCACTTGAATTTATACAATACAAAAAGAGTGGCTAAAACATCCGATATACAAAAATGGGCGGGAAATTTATATTTTTCCTAAAATAGTAAAGAATATCTAACCGCGAAGTAATATTGAAAATCCGTTTGAAAGTGTTAAATGCCCTCGTATTCAGAAGGCACCTAAAGCGATTTTTTGTATATCCTCAAAAGTAACCACAGAATAATCTCATTTCTTTAAGCGCTCACCGTGGTGTATGTTAGAGAATCCCTTATTATTCTTTCCATCATATCAAAGTATTGCCATTAACCCACATCAAAATGATTTAATATTTGGCCAGCAAAAACATTCAACAACCTTTATGTTCACCTTAATTGTAAATTATCGCTATAAAAACTCTTAACGATTCAGTGAACATTTAAATGACAGAAATGACGTTTCGCTTTTTTTTTTTTTGTTAATATTTACAAAAAATCACAAGTGAAGTCAAGCTGTCGTCTTTAGCTAAATCACAACTGACAACCTTCATGCTTAAGGGTTTCTGTCAGTGTAAAGTTCTTAATTATTGTCGAAGTACCGAAAGGTCGGTCATATTCAAGTATTTTTTTTAGATAAATGGCATTTAGTGTTTTGTATACGAAGAACAAAACGTCTGAGAACAAGAGCAACAAAGAGCTTAAGCAACGTCATATTGGCGAAGCATTGATGCATGAGTTTACATGTTTCTCAAATGATCCGATGAGATTGTCAGCAATTGTCAAGAATTTTGTATGTATTTGCAGAAGTGGCAGCACGTACATGCCACATGCATGTGAAATAGACCATAAAAGTCGCTACAATTAAAACAAAATAACAAAATTAAAATAATAAGTAACAAAATTAAAGTTCCAAATCGAACTTACGCTATTCCTTATTTACCATTAAAGGAAATCACCATCAAGAGCGACTTGAAATTTCAGATATACAGCCTCCCTTTTTTATTGCATAGACTTATTTTTTATTAAAAATTGTCCCAATTTTTAACACTATTTACATGTAAACATGTCCTGACCTACCATCACCAACCCAAAAAAATTTGATTTGTAGGGTTAACAATTATGACTAAAGTGACGAAAAACGTTGTACATCGCATTTGCCATCCATCCATCCATTCGAGGCAACACAAGTGGAGACACATTAAGTAATGCTGTCAACGTTTTGTGATTGTCATCTCTTCATCATCATCGCCAACAGCTGAAGTTGCGGTAGTTGACAGTAGCAATAGTTTCCTAAGTTCCACCGTCACTGACATGGTAATCGTCAACATCATCATTGTCGTCATAATCGTCTTCATCACTGGCAACACCATTGTCATTGCTTGTCGTAGCCGTTACTGCTGTTGTTATTTCTGTAGTTGTTACATTAATTGTTTATAATTTAAGAAGTTGCCATTGTCGAAGAATATGAAGAAGAAGAAGCAGACGATACGATTGTCTCATAATTTACTTTAATTGACTCCGTTACTTGCAACTAATGTGACAAAAACAAATTGTCTATGCCATTGCAAATGATTAATGATGCACGAACTTCAATGCACTAAATTTTCATTTAAATTTATATTTTCGAATTGGAACATTGAACTGGCATGGAGGTCTTTTTGGTGACAGATAAATGTGTACGTTGTTATCAGTGAATCATGAGGAATATCATAAATATGACAATTGGAATATGAGGATTGCTCTCAAAATTTTTGTACACAGGTCCTGTTTGCACATAGGCGTCTTTTAAAGTCGAATTTGCTCTCTACACCCTACACCACACTTCTCAAAAGGAGACGCGATAGACCCATAGTTACTTTTGTAAAAAAAGTAACGGTCGTATTTTTGACACGAATTTTTGTACAGATATGGTTCCCATATATTTTTGAATAACGAATAAAGAATATACAAATTTTATGGGGAGCCACTATTGAAGATAAGATACAGTTACTCCAATACAGAATATGTGTTCCATAAGATTTAAACTTTGATAGCCCATGTTTCGAGATATTTTCTTCCACTCTATTTATACCCTTCACCACACTGTGGTACAGGGTATTATGTCTTTGTGCATATGTTTGTAACAGGCAAAAGGAAACGAGATAGACACATGGTTCCTTTTGAGAATATGCATAGAATCACTTTTTAAGTCGATTTATGCATGTCCGTCCGTCCGTCTTTCTGTCTGTGCATGTAAAATTGTAAACAAAATACAGGTCGCATTTATTATCCGAATTGGATAAAATTTGGCATAGGTCACTTATTTGGCCCAAGGACGAACCCTATTGAAATTGGGAAAAATCGGTTCAGATTTAGACATAGCTCCCATATATATTTTCGTCCGATTTAAGGTAAATAGTGCACCAAAGTCCCTAAATATCTTTCGATTTGCACGAAGTTTTGTACAGCGTACTGAATTAAGCCAAGAATGATGTGTGCTAAGTTTCATAAAAATCGGTTCAGATTTATATATAGCTCCCATATATATTTTCGTCCGATTTAAGGTAAATGGTGCACCAATGTCCCTAAATATCTTTCGATTTGCACGAAATTTGGCACAGCGTACTGAACGTAGTCTAGAATGGTGTGTGTTAAGTTTCATGAAAATCGGTCCACGTTTAGGCATAGCTCCCATATAAGGGTACCCCCAAAGTTTCAATATTTTGGGTTTCTTGAACCCGTTTTTCAACCGAATTCACTGAAATTTGGTAAAATTGGTTATTTTTCGATACCAAATTTCTGCACTAAAAAGTATAAATATAGGTCCACTTTTTCTGGTAGCCCCCATATAACGGTACCTCCCAATTTTCAGTTTTTGGGGGGTTTTGACCGTATTTTTTCACCGAATTGGCTGCAATTTAGTACTTTGAGTTCTTATTGGGTATCAAATCTCTCCACAAAAAATTATAAATATAGGTCCATTTTTTCGGGTAGCCCTCATATAAGGGTACCCCCAATTTTCGGTATTTTTGGGTTCTTGAGGCCGTTTTTCAACCGAATCCGCTGTAATTTGGTATTTTGTAGTCGTATATGGTAACAAATTTCCCTACCAAAAATTACTAGTATTCACCCCTTTTAGGGGTAGTCCCCTTATAACCCCCATTTTATACCCTTCACCACACTGTGGTATAGGGTATTATGTCTTTGTGCATATGTTTGTAACAGGCAAAAGGAAACGAGATAGACACATGGTTCCTTGTGAGAATATGCATAGAATCACTTTTTAAGTCGATTTAAACATGTCCGTTTGTCTGTCCATGTTAAATTGTAAACAAAGTACAGGTCGCATTTATTATTTGAATTGCACGAAATTTGGCACAGCGTACTGAATTAAGCCTAAAATGATGTGTGCTAAGTTTCATGAAAATCGGTTCAGATTTATATATAGCTCCCATATATATTTTCGTCCGATTTAAGGTAAATGGTGCACCAATGTCCAAAAATATCTTTCGATTTGCACGAAATTTGGTATAGCGTACTGAACATAGTCTATAATGATGTGTGTTAAATTTCCTGAAAATCGGTTTATATTTAGATATAGCTCCCATATCTATTTTCGTTTGATTTTAGGAAAATGGTGAACCAAAGTACCTATATATCTTTCGATTTCCACGAAATTTGGTACAGCGTACTGAATAAAGTCTAGAATGTTGTGTCTTAAATTTCGTGAAAATCGGTTAAGATTTAGATATGGTTCTCATATATATATTTTCATCCGATTTTAGGTAAATGGTGCACCAGAGCCCCTATATATCTTTCGTAGTGAACTTAGTATAACCTATAAGTTAGATATAAATGCGCACTTTTACAAAATTAGAAAAATTTATTTTTTAAAACTTAAATAAAATAAAATAACTTTTATAAATAATGGGTAGGTCGAATAAGTCAAAAAATTTATCCATCACACTGTTGATCAAAATTATTCGCAAGTCTTCATCGATTGGCACAAAAATCACTTTGCACAACTTATAGAAATTATTTTTTTATTTTAACCATACTTGAGATTTTATGACGTGCAATAATTTGCAAGTTTTGTTCATCCGAAATGGAAATGCCAGTTCATAAAATGATTTAGATATATAGTTCCTATATATAGTTTCGTCAGATTTTAAGTAAAATGTACACCAAAGACCCACAGTTATATAGTTTATATAACCTAGCATGTGGAAAGTTTTATTGAAATCGGTTGAAATTTGGATATAGCTACCATACATATTTTCTCCCGATTTTAAGTAAATAATGCACCAAGAACTCAAAATGTGGCCGATATTCTGTGACAAGTTTCGATGAAATCGGCTTAGATTTCGATATAGCTTTTATAAATATTTTCGTCCGATTTGAAGTAAATGGTGCACCAAACTCCTC